ATATACATGCATATATTTATATGCATGTATATATAATTATACCCACACACATATAAGTAAGGTAAATCACGATTGCACAATTGTTTGGTTTTTTGGAGATTTGCCCAATTGAGTGCGCTATTTTCTTTTTGTTTTTTTGCAATACTGTATCTCGAAAACCCTTGTCAGGGGAAAAAAAAAAAAAAAACTTTGCATACCTTCTAATTAGGATACAATTGTCCTATTTCAGCCTTTAAAAAAATATTTGTTGAATATTTTTATGTCAGGTCTCAAGAGGTTACAAGAGAGTTGGATTCCTATGACAGTCCATTGGTGCCTTATACAATGTTAATTTTGCATAGTAATCCAAAACGTCTATGATTATTACTGTTGTAATAGCCGTCTTCTTCTGAAAGCTCATGGATCTCATTGACTGGATCTGTTGACAAATCAATGCTGCTGTTTACTGTGAGAGCCAGAATTTAGCATTATACTACACAATGTATTTCTATTCAATTATTTCACACTCTTTCGCATGCGTAGCCTTCAATGCATCGTAAAATCAATAATTACTCTACAATATTCTATCTACCGCCCTCTATGACTTGTGGCGATAAGAGCAGGGAGCGATTTTTTTTCAGTACGAAACATTTGCATGAAACTTCACTCGGAATGACTCTAGTTCGATATGATACCAATTTTAAATTATTAGGAACAAGAGCAGGCACTTCGAGAAGCCGTGACCCTCGAGTATTACTATTATTGTTCTTTCCAATCGTTCTTTGTCCTACGTTACAGGCAGTATACTAAAATTATCTTAGAAAAGGCTTTAAAATTGGACTTTTAAATTATGTATGTATGTATGCATGTATGTATGTATGTGTGTATGTGTGTATGTATGTATGTATGTATGTATGTATATGTGTACGTATGTGCGTATGTATGTATGTATGTATGTATGTATGTACACTAATATTTTGCGAATCCTGAGAGTTATAAAGCAACCTTGGAATTTTTAAAACTCAGTCTTGGGAATTTTAATTTTTATCAGTGGTCACGCTGGTCCAGGGTTTAAGCGATATGCCGCTCAAGTATAAGGTTCAAGTACCGTAAGTAGGCATCAAGCAACACCGACAAGTAGTAGAACCTCTTATAATAATAGGGTTGAACCAGTGGTGGTGCCAGAGGGGGCTGGGGGCTGTAGCCCTGCCGTCGGAGAAGCTAAGACCCCCCCCCCCCAACCCCACCGTCGGGGAAGACGAGTAAATTTTGTCGGGGAATAAACAAATAAAAAAAATTATTGTTACATTTACTTTCCTTAAACTATTTGTGTTAACTTTTCATCACAATAATAATAATAATAATAATAATAAATAGTAATAATAATAGTTCAATTAGACTAATTATTTTGTTATGACAAATGCTCGTTTGGATAGTCTCATGATGCTTGGAATATATCGTGATAGAGGAAGCCACCTCGACCTTGACAGCGTGGTTAACAGATTTCATGAAAAATTTCCAAAATGTAGAATTTCACTTTCAAGAATGAGGATTTGAAAATAAATTAGATGGTTACATTGCATACTCTTTGTTTCTTGTTTTATTCAACATGTTTTGGTTTTGGAAGCTGATTTCATAGCTTACATGAAGTCATACTGGAGTAGCTCGATGCCTATCAAATAAGTAATAAAATTATCGCCATAATTCGTCAAATATCTGTGGATTCGAGGGAGATTAACCCCCTGGACCCCCACTAGGGGCCCTAGGCGGTCCTTTGACCCCCAGCCAAGTGAGACTCGATTTGCTCCACTAGCACCCCCCCCCCCCCGTCGGGGCCTCCCCCCTGTCGGGGCCTTTATCCCCTCCGTCGGGCAGGTACTGGCGCCATCACTGGGGTTGAACACCGATAGATTTGAATCTCTCCCCTCTTTTTTTTTTTTTATTATAACAGAACATGTCTAAAATAAATAATAATTAGGCTATTATCTACAAAATTATGAATACTTTTAGGCCTTTTTTAGGAAGTGTCATTCATTCATAGCCGAATCAGGAAGATGATATTTTGAATCCATAGCGCACCAATCGCCACTGCCGGCTCAAACGTCCAGGAAAAATTTAAGAAAAAAATTTTTTTTATTTATTTTTTTTAATTTTATTTATTTTTTCCTACTGTATTTAATAGGCCTGTTTTTGTTTTTGTTTAATCCTTTGTTTAGTTTTCGTAGATACTTTTGTTAAGCCTTGTCTAAATTGATTATATTTCTTTAATAAGAGAAGAGCAATTTGTTCCCTTAGTTTAAGATTGACTGCACCACTTAATTGTGTGTTGCCAATGTTATAAAAGTGAAATGTTGAATAAACTATTATTATTATTATTATTATACAGCGTTAAAATGATTAGATAACACAAGACACAAGCATTTCTTTACAACTTTTTTCCCGCTATGTTTCATTTCAGTTATGTTTTTTATTGCTTGTTGCCTGCTATGTTGCTATATTTTTTGTCCTTTTTTTGAAACTGCACTATAGATGCTCTATCTGCTTATTTTGCTATGTAGCATTTATTGTGTTTTTTTAATGCTGTTAGTCTGCTATGCTGCTAGTTCCAAGGTTTTGTTTTATGGTTTAAGTGTTATGAGCTGCTATTTCTGCTGTTTTTGCTGTATGGCAAAGTTGTTCAGTTTGTGATTGATATGGATTCAATAGATTCAATTCTTTATTCAAAACCATTATAAGTACAATAGCAGCCCAAAGGGCTGAATTGGAGTACAAATTTACAGTTAAGGTACACAATCAAGGAAAAACAGAAGGAAACATCAAAAGTACAATTTAAAACAAAATTCAAGGACAAAGTCAAATATAATCAAAATATAAAAAGCTATATATAAAAAAAAAATGATAATAAAATGAGTCGAGAAAAGAGAACATCCAAATTACGATTAAAAAAAAACCAATTCAGTCACATATTCACAAAATAAGAACATCAAAAATACGATTAAAAAAGATACAAATCAGTCACAATTTACAATATAAAAGGATATTATAATCGTTAAAAATCAGTTTTATATTAGCAAAGGTCAGAAGGAGATTGAGTCACTGGTTGATTCGAGCATTTACGGTAAACGTTAATGTTTCATTAAACATTGTTACATTTACTTTCATTAAACAGAGCACATGTTTGCAAACCATCCACAAAAAACTAACCAATTAGCGGGCAAGAGTTTAGGAGACGCGGCCACCAAGTGGCATCGACGAAGAATGCGTTCTGTTTACAAAAATGTATCAGGAAACCGAAAATATACGTAATATAAAAGAATCAATTTTATACATTGTTAATACAAAGTCGATTCTAAAAATGTAAAAATGGAAATCTGTTTTCAAGGACTTTTCAAGTACGAACGTCAATTTTCAAGAACTTTCAAGGGCCCTTGAATATGATTCTCAAATTTATGTACATCCAGGTACTTTCCGGAACGTACGAACCCTGTGAGTACAGTTATAAGCATGGAGGTAAAAACATTTTTATACCTCCATGGTGAAGACAACCAATAGAGCAGTACAGTAGTTTGTTTGCATAAAAAAAGCATGAAGGCTAAATAAAAAGATGTTTTATATAAGAAATTGCAAATAGCCTAGATTTATAAATGAATGGAACTCACAATGACAACTTGCTGACTTTGCAGAAAAACGTCTCCGTTGAAGCGGTTGCTGGGGTGCGACTAGAATTGGCACAGATTAGAGAGAGATCTCCAAATGATATTGCGTGCGCTATTTGGAGAGACATAATATACACACCCATAATTCCTATTGGCCAAATTATATATAATGACATCGTAATCGATAAATTCTGCACATCCTGTCATTGGCTGTTTAAGAACGATTTATGCACGGAGTGTTCGTTATGTACTTTAATCACTGAAAACAAAAATTAACCCAAAATAAACGTTATTTCCTTGTGTGTTGCGCAGTATGTAAATATATGTTGACTCGAGGGGCGCTCGATTCCGTGTATAACGGACGTGTTTGCTTGGGATGTTAGAGATATAGATACTCAAATCTCAAGTTTATTTGTTTATATTTACTCAAAAATCAACGTTATCTGGATACTGTATGTACTTCCAAGAACGCATAGGCATACTGGTGAGAACGGATCATAACTATTTAAACTGGGTTTTATTATCTAAATTTCGGTTTAGGCCCATTGTTTTTATATATGACGCGAAAAGGAATCATATAACACCCTACATGCTTGATTGACCTTAAACAATCATATAAACAAAAGGATCTCCAGGGCAACTGTAGCTGTCTTGAATAGACGTCAGAGCCCATGGCTACCAGGCGGACTGCACCCGTGAAACGACATTGGACAGATATCTGAACAAACGCTCGTTTCACCATCCGTCCACCAAGAAGGGAGTTTGCAACCAGGGGCGGATTTAGGGGGGGGGGCCGGCCCGGCCCCGGCCCCCCCTTTTGGGAGGTAAAAAAAGAAAAAAAAAAGGGAAAAAAAGAGAGAAAAAGAAAAAAATGATAGCCCAGAATGCCTCAAATGTTAT